GGTTGGAGCAAAAGAATGAAAGAGGCACTTAGCAGCTGCTTTTGCAAAAGAAATCCATCTCCTCATCCTCAGAGCACGTCTAAAAGCAGAATCTTTCATCCCTGGTCCCTCCACTGTTATTTTGTGTCTACTCTCTGGCTAAAAGGCACAGAGAAAAATTACTGTCCTTAATCTTTCCTCCTGAGTCACTCTGAATTCCAGAAAAGCCTTACAGCAAGCACTGAGTCCTCTCCAGGAGGACTCTTATATGTGGATACTATTCTCTTATATGTGGATATGAGCTGTTTAGTCTTTGATAAGCAGGCTACAAACCATGTATCCACAGAGGTTAGGTATAGAGTAAGGGACGGGGTGGGGGGGGCAGATAGATCTCATTAGGAAACACAATAGATAGTTTTTATGGGTGGGTAGGATACTGAGATGGGAGGATCAAGTGGAGGAGGAGGGAAGAAGGGGGCAAGAGAAGAAATATGGGGAGAGACAGCTAGAATTAAGGATCGTTTGAGGGGCACCATAGAAACTTAATACAGTAGAAGCTTCCTAAAATATATAAATATGAAGGTGATCACTAAATAATGAGAGACACAGAGCCCCAACTGGACATCTCTTATCACCAAATCAAGCTTCCAGTACTGGGATTGGGTTACATCTAATTGAGTTGTTGTCCAAAGGGGTCCCACAGGAACCCCCAAATAACTCAGGCTGTTCCCAAGACTATAGGTTGCTCTCCACAAGATGACATCAAGGCCCCATTGATTCAGACAACACCTACACAGCTCATTGAACACGGAGAAGCTGAACTGGTGCTGATAGAGCCTTCACCCTATGGACTTTGTCACAGGAAGGCACGATGAACGCCACCTAAGGAGAACATAAACACCAACCCCACCATAAACGCTTGGATCTACAAAGGTGCCACACTCGCAAGATATTCTGGTGCAAGGGTAGCACAAAGCTTGTGTGGCTAACCAACCAGTATCTGGTTAGACTTAAGGCCGGCTCCTCAAGATGGAACCCATGCCTGACACTGCTTGGGTGGCCAAGACAGTCCAGGGGCCTATGGTAAAACCAAACACTACTGTTCTAAGACAAAACAAAACAAAAAAGCAGAAATAAAATGACTGCTAATGACATTCTGCTATACTCATAGGTCAGCGCCTTGCTGGGCCATCAATAGAGAAGCTTCCTCCTGCAGCGGATGAGAACAAATACAAAGACCCGCAGCAGACATTGTGCAGAGAGTAAGAGACCTTGGAACATTCAATCCTAAATGGGATGTCTCCATCAAGTCCCTCTCCTCAGGGCTCAGGGAACCCTAGGAAAAGGAGGCTCCCACAAATAGACCCAATGTCGAGGCTCCTGATTGATGCACAGTCAGCAACTGACAAGTCATTGCTGATGTAGGGTGAAGCAGGGTGTATGAGGTAGAAAGAGCAGGATTCAACCACTGAATCCTCACAGTGATCTTTCTATTGTAAAAGAAAAACATCCATTTACTTCTGAGAATTTCATACACATGTACAATGAAATATGATCACACCTACCCTCCCTCCACTTCCCTTTCCCTATGATCACACCTACCCTCCCTCCACTTCCCCTTCCCTATGATCACACCTACCCTCCCTCCACTTCCCTTTCCCTATGATCACACCTACCCTCCCTCCACTTCCCTTTCCCTATGATCACACCTACCCTCCCTCCACTTCCCCTTTTCAAGTCATCACACCTACCCTCCTGTTGGGACCAATTGAGTCCTGGCCTTCAGCTGCTCTTCCCTGTCTAGATCCTTCTAATTGAAGTTACTAAAAGCTGTGCCTAGCCTAGAGGATCAGAGGATGAGATTTTCACCTGTTGGCCATTGACTGCAGGGTATTTAAGCTTCCATGGTGCTATTAAAGAAAAGCTTTTGTATCAGTGATTAGAGGTCTGTGTGTTGGTCTGTCTCTGCGTGTGTTTCCTCAACCTCCAGCCCCTTGCCCAAAGCTCGCAAACTGAGTGCGGACGGGGGGGGGGGGGGGGGGGGGGGGGGGGGG